TGTAAAAGATCCAAATCATTTATGGAGAGGCGGCACGGCTACATGAGGCAAATACACAGCAAATGAACCACAAAGAGCCCTCTAAGCACAGCAGGGAGAGAATTAGAATGTCATTCCTACTTTCAACATCATTACCATATTCATTGCTCTTCTTTGCAGGTCAAGAGCAGGCATACGGCATTGTGTCCATTTAGGAAATCGTTCATATTATTGGGTTTTTATTATTTATTTCAGAATACCCCCCAATCAGTTCATTTCCAAAATAACACACAAAGCCACTGCACATTGGCGGACTATTTTTCAGGACGGCAAATCCGTCTCAGGCTTCTTTGGAAGTGTGTGCATGTGTGTGGAGTCCCAGCACAGGCATTATGCACTGGGACAAAACCCTCCGAAGATCAGGTGCCAAGAGCTGAATCACCATCCTGTGCCCATTCTGGTCATCTGCTCACTGGACTGAAGAGTAACATATAAACAAAAGGGGGTTAATACCAGCAGCCGTTTGCTGTGAGAGGGCTAGAGTCCCATAGTTAAATAGAAAAGCCCACACAGATGTGCAAACACATAGCCACTGTTATTTTGCTTTATCGCAGAGGTGTAATGGTTAGTCAGATGTTTAAATTTTGGCTGTCATCAGGCTGGTGTTTTGGAGCCATAATTCTTAGCAGGCTGTTTTTAAAAACTTTATTGGAACAATGCACAGAGGTAACTGCTAAATTATTTTTAGATAATGCTCCAAAAGGCACCACTAACCAAAAAACCAAATGTATAATGTAATGATTTAAATTATTGTAGGTAAGGTTTAACAGCAATTCGCTACTGTGCATAGTAACGTGGGTTGTATTGAGAGGAGGCGGCAGAAACACTTAGCAGGACAGTCACAAACAACGACCACACTGGTACTGGAAATTCTATAGTGCTTGTACTTTAATACACACTCTCTTCACCAACCTTACAAGGCCTGGGTGAACGGCTGCTGTCTTATCATAAATGAACTGCAGTGTTTCTACAACCCGTAACTCTACCTTGAGTTATTGAGGTGAAATTTTAAGGTCCATCTCAGGCCACGTGTTCACATGCAAGCACGCTTCTCCCATACTCTAACAGAGGGCAGTGGTGCATCCTTGTGAAATCACTAACCCTTAATTTAGGTTGTCTTGAAGAGACACCACACAATTGTGACTGTTACAGCATCCGAAGAGGCAGTCAAAGCAGTCAATCAAAAAGGCGACAACTCAAAGCTTTAAGCCTTACACCTGTTGTACAGTTGTTATGAAGGGAGAAACTATCCATACACACCTCAGCTGTTGTTGTACTGGGCTGTAAACATGTTTTTTTATTGCTGTTAAGTTTGCTTCTTTAACCTGAGAGTCTATAATGATGGGTTTGACTTGCTATTGGTGCTAGCCTGAAGTAGCGACTCGGTTAGCTGTATTTGTCCATATGATCTAAATGTCAAGTTTGAGAGAAGTGCAGCAAGTTGGTGGATGGTAAACAAAGAGAGAACAGAATTGTTATGCTACAGTGAAGCTAGGGAAAACAACCATATGCAATGAATTTGACAGGGCCTGCAGCCACTCACAGTCAGCTGCTGTTTTCAAAGCAACTTTGGGGCATCAAGAAGGTGATAAAACGGCAATGAGATTTAGTGACATGAGTCTGCTATCAGTTTGGTGGTCAATTTGGGAATCATACTAATACGCCATTAATTGTGATATATTGGGAAAAATTGAAAATCAGCTGCCGTCTACATACAGAGAAAATCATATTTACCAGAAATGTCCATTAACTTCTGAAATTTCTCCATAAATTCAATTCAATTCAATTTTATTTATACAGCACCAAATCTCAACAATAGTCGCCTCAATGAGCTTTATATTGTAAGGTAGACCCTACAATAATACATAAAGAGAAAAACCCAACAATCATATGACCCCTATGAGCAAGCACTTTGGCGACAGTGGGAAGGAAAAACTCCCTTTTAGCAGGAAGAAACCTCCTGTAATAACATGCTAATGACATGCATCTATGTTTCTTGAAAGCCACAAGGAAAATAACATTGTTTATTAATGATTCACTTTTTATTTACCCTTTTAAAACTAGAACACTAACTGTAGTATGCATACATGATTACAGACACGAAAGAGATAATGCAAGATTTTCAGCTTTTCTATATTTAAAGTGCTTTTTCCATTAATTCTACCTTGTTAGTTGGGGAAAACAAATATTTAAAGACATCACCTTCAACGCCAGAGTAGCTGTCTTCGAGGTGTGGTTTTAAACAGTGGGATTTTTAATGAGCTTTGAAAAAAAACAACTCTTGTCAGTCTGTTCTGTAGACATGGAGTGTCATACAGGATTGGAAAAGGTACAATTAGCAGAAGCAGCAAAGTGCCCATCAACATTTCCAGCCACGTCCCGCTCGTATCTCTTCTCGAGCGTCGGTGCCTCTCCCAGTAAAGATGGTGTGACATGCTGTGTCTCCCACTGACTGTGCTGATGGATGGGTGGAAATCAGCAGGACAGCGCGGGAGGATAAATTGCTACACTTAAAATCCAAGTGCCGCTTCACAGCACTACAGTGCACAACATGGTTCCATTTAGGTTAAGGTAAATGACGCCAAGTCACAGTAATAACTGGTGTGTTTTTGGAAATGTCATGAAAATGTTGTGCATAACCTGGTGAACAGCAATCAAAGCAGTCCCAAACTTTCCACTGTGTATTTGTTTAATGTTTGCTGCTGTCATGTAAAATGTCTGTTAATGTGAGTATTTGTGCTTTAACCTTTTTGACTCTTACTACTGTCCTTATGCAAATATGGAGCAAGTAATGGTACAGATGTCATTCTGACCTAAACCTGTGCAATAATCATGTTTTATTGAATTATCAATGAATAAATATTGTATCTAGAACATTAAATACAAATAAGTGTGAAGCTTTTTAGCTCATTGTACTGTTGGGTATGTAAACATTTTGTAGAGTAAAAGCTGTTTTTAAGGGAGAAATATTCTCATTAGTTATAGTTAGTTAATTCTCATCAAGTTATACATACATAATGTGTGGAGGCAAGCAGACAGTTTTTAAAACTAAAGTATATTTTGCATCTGTGACATACATTAGACCTGCATATCCTCACTTGATGTATGAGCCGGCCCATTTATGTTCTGAGAAAAGTGAAAAGTCTGTGACTGTCTGCATACACGGAGATTCATTTTAACTGCTCGCATTCAGAGTCTAGCCAGAACTTTATGGATTTGAAAAACAAATTCAGAAATAGTGGCGTAGTTGTCACAGGACTGCAATGTAACTGCACAGAGGCGTTCAGCTTCTTTTTACATAGAAATATAATCAGAATACAACCAATTAGCAACCAGTTGAGTCAAGTCCCCTATTGCAAAAAGACATGTCACAGACAAGCTAATCTGGATTAATTGCAGAGCTGTAATTAGTCTCATATATAAATAAGACGTCAGTTATCTGTTAATCTTCGCCAGTCTGTTTGAGTCTGATTGTTGGGAGACAGGTTAACTCCCAACAGGCAACCTGTGCGGTCGTTTTATGATGGTGTTACACGCTCAACCTCTGGGTGACGAGTTGGTGACTGTAACTTCTTGCAATCTGTCTCCAACAGCAATGAAAAATGTTTTTAAAATCAATCACTGGTTACCCAGTGATTTTTCCAAGATACAAGGAGGTTGCTATTGTATTCTTACCCCAGTGTGACTGAGCCATTAAAGTGACTGAGAAATGAGCTTTTCTAACTTGAAATGTGAGTTCTGCATTGGAGGAGAGCATCAGAGGTGTAGGACATTCAAAACACTTTGTTGTTACAGCTGTTAGAAAAGTGTTTCAGAGCTGCTAAACTTTTCCAAATCTTTTAAACAATTCAAAAGTGAACAAATTTCAGTATTATGCTATGTAATGTAGCTGATTCAAGCCCAAGAAGACATCAATCTGTGGCTCAGGAAGGAAAATCAAAGGGGTGTGCACTTCTGGAAACATGTCTTCAAAATCAGTTAATCATTTATCAAAGCCTATCTATATTTCACCTTTGATGGAAGTTCATGCTTGACTAAATACGTGTGATTACATAAAATCTAGATGGAAGGTTTGATGAAACAAAAAGACAAAAGAGCATCTATCTATCTGTATATAAAAAATGTGTAAAATGTGCAACTTATGTAAATAAGTTAATAAAGTTATTAAATAAGTATAACATTTAGCCACAAACCCAGTTTTTAAGTTTATATTTACAGATTTAAAAGTGCTTCTTTCCAGGATGTATTTAGATTTGAAGGAATTCCTTCATTTTTGTCCATCTCAATGTCTCCACACATGTAAATATAACTCAGCTTTTGCTCTGAGTCTGCTGTCAGAAATCGTATAGCATATTATATATAAAACAAAAAAACAAAAACGAAATCATGCTGGTGGTTAATGCTGATTGGGCTGGAGGTCACTGTTTATTTGCCACTGCGTCAGTGGTAGCACCACATAGTACACCGATGCGGCTCCTGACAGCTGTAGAGCTCCATGGCTGAGTGCCCTGGTCGGCTTCCAGATTGCCGCTTGATGGGTGCCTGATACGAAGTTGATTGACTGACTAGCTGGGCCTCTGGAGAGGCCTTTGAGTAGAGGCTCTGACTGGCAGGTCAATCAGCCTCCCAGGCCCCCCATTGTGGTTATCAATTATCAGCCGTATGTGAAGAAAAACAGTCCGCTTATTCCAAGTCTGACACTTGCTGACCTTTAACAACTCTTCAGATTTGAATCATCTTCAGGACACCATTATAAAGCAATGAATGCTGGTGATATTAAAAGATAAGGATGGAAAATCACATTTTCTTTAGATCTTAGAGCAATGAACAGGCAATTTAACCAAGATATGATTTCTTTATAAGGGTGTTGGTGGGAAGACAGGGGAAGTAATGATGATTTGGATCTATGAGCACTGAAAGGTCTTCGCTCACGATTCTGCTTGTCCCCTTTTCCTTCTCAGCTCATGGTGGGGATCATTCAGGCGGCCGAGCTGCCTGCTATGGACATGGGTGGCACATCTGACCCATACGTAAAGGTCTACCTGCTGCCTGACAAGAAGAAGAAATTTGAGACCAAGGTCCACAGGAAGACCCTCAACCCCGTCTTCAATGAGCAGTTCACCTTCAAGGTGCACCTTACAATAAAAGCAACATTTAATCTGCTTCCACTGAATTTTAAGAAACATCTGCGCATCACAAACTCTTTTTTTTTTTTTTGCTGGAGATCTTTTGCTTCCACTGACAATCCAATTTGCATGCAGCCTTGAATGCTGGGAAGGTGTGGAGACAGCAACCAGCTGGCACATTAACAAGCTCCTGACAGAATATCTCTCACACGCACAGTTACACTCACACACACACAAACACACACTGAGGCTCGATGTGATTGGGATTAACACAGGCAGATGCACCGCCACACCCTGGCCTTGCCTCGGCTGTAATGGATGTGTGGCCCCTGCTCAGTAGTGGGGAAAGTTTTGTTATTCAACCAAGAGCGGAGAGCGCAGGTGTTTGGTGTAAGTTAAGCATAATGTGATGTGATATCTATGCAGAATTTATTTGTGTGTGTTTTTGTAGTGCTTAAATCAGAATCTCTGATGCATCGTGGGGGGAAACAAACAGGAAATGGGATTATAAGAAGTGGTGATGTCGTCAAAAAGATGAGATGTTTATGGGAGATAAGGTCAAGGACAGTCTTATTAAAAGATACTCCTCTCGCTATCCAGTCATATGTCAGTTGTTTTTCATATAATTCAGAGATTTATCAGGATATAGTTAGATGTTTTTCATTTTTTATTTGGTTAACAATAAAGATTCAAAGATTTTTTAAATGTCATAGATTGCATATAAACAAAGACAAACTGGTGACTGTTTTGAAGCATTGAGAAGAACATTTTAACTGTCACCCTCTTCTTCTTTTAGACCAGGCTTGACCATATTTGCAGTGTGTTTGCTGTCTTGGTTAGACAGGTGTCTCTGTTATGTCATTAGCATGCTAGTTTTGGTTTAAGTGAAATGTAAAACTGAAGAGCCGACTTCAGCTGATAGCTGCACAATGAAGAAACAACATACCGAAAACTGTAGCAAATTAATGTGAAGCTCAATTTTTAGCCTTTTTTTTCCTAAATTTGGCTATAATAAAAAAAATGTTCACGTTCCATTGAATTTGACTTAAAATTAGTGACTGATGCCATAAAGTTACAAGGAAAGCGTTTAATAGGGTCAAAAATGAAGTGAGGAGTTCTAATTTCTTCACAAATTCCTTTATTTTAAAACCAGAAGATTCGCCCCCTGCTGGCCAAGAGAATTAAAGCAACAACTTTAACATTGGACTCGAGAGTCATGACAGTCATCCCCTTATGCTCATGCTAAACTGCTTTGTCACTATATTCACTCTGTTCTCTGCCCTGCCTTTAAATAACTTTTATTGCAAATTCAAATAGGCTCAAAAAGACTGCATACCTGAATGCTCTGGTCACTAGTGGGCAGCCTCTATAGTTTGGTTCTTGTAACTTTTTCCTTTCATTAGATATAAATCTACCCACAATGAAAGCACATCCACTGCCTATTACTCATGTGTGCATTGAGTTTGTCAACATCGGGTTATACAGACGGGTTTGCCCCATTACTGCCCCCCATTTGCAGGAAGAACGAATCAATTGAAAAGATTTGAGCACATGAGCTTGTGACAACATACCAATGATCTAAAAATTAAACTTCATACAAGATCATGCCAAAGCTTTTTTTTTCTTTTTCTTCTAGTGGTCACATTGGTTTGAAAAAGAGTCGTCTGAGCAACTTGTAGGCTACAAAAAAAGAAAGAAAAATAAATTTCTGCTAAAATTAGTCAAATATAAGCTTAAGAATTGTATAATCCTGAAATAATGTCAGGTTCTGGGCTTTTTACATTGTTAAATAGATATAATCAACCTCACCTGGGTGAGCCATAAATGCTTTGCCTCTTTCTACTTCAGGTCCCGTATGTAGAGCTTGGCGGGAAGACACTGGTGATGACGGTGTACGATTTTGACCGCTTCTCCAAGCATGATGCCATTGGCGACATCAAGGTGCCCATGAACAAGGTGGACTTCAGCCACATAACAGAGGAGTGGCGGGATCTGCAGAGCGCTGAGAAGGAGGAGGTAAGACGTCTGCCAAAATTTGCAATTACACCTCATAAAATGAGAAATAAACTCAATTTGAAATCACTTTGTGACACCTGTCTCATGCCGAGGCACAGATTTGTACATCTAGCAGCTGCAGTTTTAATGAAAAGGGCATAAGTGATATCAGAAGCATTATTTTATTTTGCTCAGCAAACTTGTACTGCAAATGCGGTGCGGTCGACGATGTAATCCATCTCCTCTGGAAATGTCACTTAATCATATGTCCGCACTTCCCCTTCAATTAACAGACGTGTAACTTCCCAGCCACCAATCCAGGAGATTCAATTTTCATGGTAAATGTCATGGCATATAGCATGTGTTGCCAACCTTATTTTTAGCATTACGGCAGGTTGATTTAAAGGTTAATTATAACGGTGCAGAATAGGTTGGTGGTGTTTTTCAAACTGAAGGGCATCACGTTACTTTCTTTTGTGAGCTTGTGCGCAGCTTTACCTGACAGGCTTATACACTGAAGTGATGCTTGGTATTCCTTATTCTTAGTTAAACATTGATTAATGAATCATTGTAAGACAGACCCCGGGTGACTTTATTCTTTATTGCACAGATTCAACAAGGTGCTCGAAACATTCCTCACACATTTTGAACCATATTGGCTTGATCGCATCACGCAGTTGCTGCAGATTTGAGATCTGGTGACTATGAAGGCCATTTGAGTACACCGAACTTACCAGCATGTTCAAGAAGCATATGTACACTTTGGTGTGCACTGTGGCCATAAAGGGATTGGTGGTGCAGTAATAATTGTGTAGGCTTCGGTGTTTTGATGTTCAAACAATGCTCAGTTGGTACCAAAAGGTCCAAAGTATGACAAGAAACTATTACACCTGACCCACTGATATAAGGATAGAGGAATCCATGTTTTCGTTGACCCCACATTCTAACCCAAACATGAAAATGTTGCATCAGAAATTGAGACACATCAGACCAGGCGATGTATTTCCAATCTTTTAGTCTCTGAGTTTGGTGAGCCTGTGTGCATTGTAGCATGAGTTTCCTGTAGCTGATGGGTGTGTTTCTTCTGCTGCTGTAGCCCATCTGCTTTGAGCTTAGATTTCCTGTGCATTCAGAGATGTTCTTCTACATACCTTGGTTGTAAGAAGTAGTTAATTTCACTTACTGTTCCCTTCAGTTTGAAGCAATCTAGGCATTCTCTTCTACATTTTGTCCCAGAGAACTACCGCTCGTGGATGTTTTTCTGACCATTCTCTGTAAGCTGGAGTTCCCAGTAGATCCGAAGTTTCTGAAATACTCAGCCTAGTCTATATGGTACCATCTACATGCCCAAATGTAGGCCTAAGGCTGATTAGTAGGGGTGCAACGATACACAAAATTCACGGTTCGGTTCGATACTTTGAGGTCACGGTTCGATATTTTTTCGATACAAAAAAATGTTCATGCGTTTTTAAATAGTCATTTATTAAAATTATAAATATATATTTTAACTCAAAAGTACAGTTTTTAAATTTAATGTTGCTTAAACAACAAAGTAATAAAAAAATAAATCTATCTGATCGAGAAATCACTCATCTTTGGAAAAGAGAGTTTATTACAGAGAAATGGCTCTTTCCAAAATAAAAGCTATACTATACGTTTCTTCTGGGCTATATTCTCAGCAGCATATTAAACATATCAGGTCCCCATGAGGAGAATCATGTGCTAACAGCTGTCTAAATGACTCGGGTAAAGTTTGTAGCATGCATGCTTGTTGTTTTTGTCTGCCTGCACTTGTCTTTGCACGAGGATGATGTCGGCGTAAATGTGCAGTCATATTCGTTGTGTTCCCACTAGTGCTGTCAGCGTTAATCTGAAATGACGTTAACGCCACAACACGGCAAATCTCCGTTAACGAGCTACCGCGGATCGCCCCGTGCGTGGGGCTGGACGGCGTCAACACGTTAACGAGCTAACTGCGCTAACACACTAGTTCCCACCAATATAATTGAGCATTGTGTGGCACATCCGACATACTGTTTTACTTTTGTCCATGACGCGCTTACCTTCAGGGTCATACTTGACACACATGAAGACCAAAATAGTTCCAAAGGCCAGATCTGAATGAGGGTGGGGGAGGTTCAATTTGTCATGTTGCAATGAGCTTAGCTTCTGTCTTGCTAGCTTGTGCTGCGCTCAGTGAATCTGTGCTCGACAGTGTAGCCTAGGCGGAGTAGTCGAACGCAGATCCACTGAGCTCTCAACACAAACAGCATCGTCAGAAGAAAAGTTGATAAAATAAATTTAAAAATTTTGTATTGTTCAATACATATGCGTACCGAACCGAAAGCACTATATCAAACGGTTAAATATCGATACGAGTATCGTTGCATCCCTACTGATTAGATAGTTCTGTGAATGAACTGTTGAAGAGTTGTACCTAGCGAAGTGAAAATATACCTAGCGAAGGGGAAAATATAATAAGTCTCATTTAAGTATCTGTAATGCAAAGAAGGCACTGAAAGCATATTCAAAAAAGAGAGAAAAGAAAGCTGCTTTCAGGTAAAAATCTTCTTCTTCACCTATACACAAGTAGCACAATCCTCTTTATTTTTAAGGTCAAATATGAAGTATCGGAGTCCCTAAAATGCCCTTTCCATTGAAGAAGCAGCGGCTGACCTTTTACAGTTCAAAGAAAATATTAAAGAACTCGGTCACTGCTCTTGACAGGCATAATTAACTGTCACTGCTTCTTTTACTAGCCTCAAGAGGAGAATGCATTTGCGTTCATTAAAATGCGACTCCCATCATCAAAGTAAGACTATTTAGTCTGTGGTTTTTAAAGCAGCTACAAGTCAGGGGAGCAGATGACAAATGAAATGCAGGGGAGGGTCCATTACAATATAAAACACACTGCAGCCATTTTCAGCACTCCTATTCTACATGAGGAAATAGACCTTGATTGGAAGTTGATGGAAGATGAAGAGTCAATATTCGGATCTGGATTGCCTTTGATTTATAACCTCTTTTCGAAATGACCAGATGTAAAACAGGTGCGACCTAAGCGGGAGTTATTGGCTGTGTCTGCTTCAGGTGTTGATAAAGGATATGGAGAGAATATGAACCGATCTCTTTTCAGTCTCAGATAATGAGCCTGTGTCGTGATGGTGCTTTGCTTGAAGCAGTGAAGTGCAGTGCAGGGCTTTTCCTGCAAACAAGGAATCAAATCCATGGCACACGATTGAAAACCTTCAGGACGCTTGTTGTACAATTGATTGCTTTGACTCTGAAGCTGTGACTCAGAGATACACTTTGATCTGAAACATTACATTTGACATGCTGCATTTCTGTTTGCCACCTAGCAAAAAAAAACAATTTTCGATTTAATTTGTGTGCTTTGTAACTTAAATGCATCCTCCTCTTCTTTTCACACTTTCTTGGTTTTTTTTTATTCCAACTATTTTGACTTTCATTAAAGAAATCAAGTTCAAGTATAACACTGCGACAGCTGAGTTTCTCTGTTTGGACAAATTACACTGTAATCGAAGAGTGTTTTTGTCCTAATTTTTCTTTCCTGTATTTTGAAATTATTTATCAGGGCAGCAGACAGCTGGCTCACATAATGATTACATTGTTAACAGCTTGTCTTGATCAGTGGAGTACAATACACTGGAAAATGCTCCACTTATTAAGGCAAATTTGTCTGAAAAACTAGTATCTCCACATTTTGTTAATTTTGGGGTTTTTTATTGTGATCTCCATATGTTCTGCACAGTTGTATCCTGTAAATATGAATGCTTAAAATGTGCCCTGCTTCATTAGCAGTAATTTTTCAGTAGATTGTGCCAGCTTGTAGATTTAGCACTACTAATATTCTCCACCTTATGTTTTTCAGATCAGAAACTCTAATTACACTGATGCAGACGGACACTGCTCTGTGTTAGGATTTCTGATAATGGATCAGTTTCACACTGATCACAGAGTCTTCTGTGCCAGCCCTCCTAGATTTAGTCTACAATGCTTCCAATCTGTGCACTTAAAGCAAATATCTTTCTCCATCATGATTTAGACTGTAATTACTATAACCAGCTTTATGACTCAGTGTGTCAGCATCCTGTGCATTAACCTTTAATACCATTAGACTTTTAGCACAGACACCCTGCTACTTGCAGCTTTGCATGTTAAAAGCTTCCCTTTCTGCTCGTGGAGAGCAGACTCAAGTAAACATGTTTATGAGCAACTTTCTCTCTGATGTATCCTCATATGGTGTGAACATGTGATGGAGTAAATTTGCATCAAGTAGCTGTTTTTCTCACCTCTGCAATGTCTCTGTTTTTCCAACAGCAAGAAAAACTGGGTGATATCTGCTTCTCTCTGCGATATGTCCCCACTGCTGGCAAGCTGACCGTGGTCATCCTTGAGGCCAAAAACCTCAAGAAAATGGATGTTGGAGGCTTGTCAGGTGAGGAGAATTGAAAGGGTGTGCACATATGCCAACTGGTTTTTCCTCTGACAGGGCCTTTGTCTGTAATGACACACAAACTGCAGCACTCACTTCACCTCTCCTACAACATCGCAAGCTTTTCTTCCTCTTTTCAGCACCCAGACAGATACCTGATTGTGAAAAAGATCTTTTGAATGTCTCTAAATATCCCTGAGAAACTGCTTATATTGTAACAAAAGAAACGCAGTTAATGGCACCCATGATGATGCTGTCATCTTTCTATAGCTCACATAACTCACAGTGCAATGACAACAGAGTTGACTTGGATCCCACAAAGATATCAATGCTAGAAGCATGTGTAGCTAATCGTATAGCTATTGCCATGCGTTAGCTATAAATATAGAAATCAAATATTCATTACACGTCTTTGCATTGTGCCATTATATGATTTACTGATGGTTAAATCAGTCCTGTCTGACTTTATGCACAACTCAGTATCATGGATTACATCAGCCAGCTAGCATTTCTACTGAGATTGATTTTGCTAGTGATAACATTAGCAAACAAGATATGATTAGCCAGCTAACTGTAATGAGGGATAGCTTATAAGGAAGAGACATGGCACTGACATGATTCAGTAGACAAATCCAAAGAAAAATGCTAAAAATGGCTGTTATCTCACCCCTAAAGAGTAAGTAGCTGCAGCTGATTAGCTAATCATGTTGTGAAACTGTGCTAGCGTGCCGTAGGAGAATAACATTTTAGTAAAATCTTATTTTGAGTGTTTTATATTTGATTTGGCTTGTGAGTCTACTGTAGTAGCTTTAAATGACCCAGGGATCACCGATATTAAAGTTATGGCTCCATCATTTAGACGGGATCTTTAAAGAACGATCCAGATTCGATCCAGTGTGTGAGACTTGCGTCCAGAAGGACTTATTCTGGCAATGCTAACATTAGCTGATAAACTCATATGAAAATGACCAATTTAGTTTCTAGATTAGCCCGAAGAGGGTTGGATTTGATGCCACAAATTAAACAATCGCTCCATGAATTTAATGTCCTTGTAATGCTAATGTTCTGCAATATTAACAGTTCCTCTAACATTTTATGGATTATCTCTCAAAATTCAGTCCAAGTGTTTCACCTATTGTCAGTGTTACTCATCATGCTGTTAGAGGCAACTGAGGGAGTCATGGATGGTCTCAGTTTTCAAGTTATGCTACAATCTCTTCAGACATTTGCCATGAAAAATGATTGCCATTGTTGTAAAATTGATCGCTATGACTCAGAGATGCACTTTGATCTGTCACATTGTATTTGACATGCTGCAGCTCTGTTTACTACGTAGTAAAAGGCATGACTTGATTTGCACACTTGCTCCTTTGGTTTTGAATGTTTTTATTAATATATTACCAATATTCAAGTGTAACCCTGCAACTGTAGGTTCGCAAAATATGTTTAAGTTAAAAAAAAAAGTTGTCTAGCACACATTGAAGAACACATACAGTAATACAGTAATGAGTGTAACACGCTCATAAAGACAGTGCCTTCCCTCTTAATGAATGCATGGAATAAAAGAGTATGTATGAAAAAAATTCGACAGCTTGAAAGAATGAAAGAATTGTCCTGCTGTGGTATAGCTCCAACTCTACAGGATTAAGATCAATAGTTGACATTTATCACAATACAGTCAAGTCTGAATAGAGGATCTGATGTCATGGTAACTGAATGAGAGGGATGGAAGTCCTCCACCCACAGCTGACTGGAACATAAACAAACGGCACAAAAACAGACAGACTTGTTTTGTGTCTCTTTCAGCCAGAGAGGACAGATGTTTCATCTAGGGACTAAAAAAACATGACTGAACTTTAATAGAGTCCCATGACACTGAAATCCACTGTGCTTTTGGACATAAAGACCAATATTAAAGTTTTAATGTCTTTCTCACTATGAAGTGGAACAACACAATCTCATTTTGTAAAACTATATATTTCCTTTGGGGGCAATTTAGCAATGTGGGCAGAGTTGCATAGCAGAGGCATCTGCTTTCACATTTCAGCTCTGAAACCAGACATGCCATGCTGCAAATGGTAAAGATAAGACTTTAAAGTGCAGGAGAAGAGCTGCACAATAAAGTCATGGACAGGTTTTATTAATCAGTTAACTTGATGTAACATGCCATAAATGTGACCATCTTTTGCCTTTAAAATAATACCAGTTTTTCAAGGTAGCTGGCAGGAAGTTTGAATGATTGCTGAACGATCTAGAAGAACTTAACACCGTTCTTCTGTAAGTTTAGGCTTCCAGAATAACTGTGGTTCACATAATGGGTGGAAGTTTAGAAACATCCACACTGGAATCAATTTGCTAGTTACACATCACTTTGCAGCTGACGGTTGGTCCATAGCAGATTGTCTGTTGCTCGGGTAATCCTCAAATGTGTTTACTATCCAGTCTTACGTCAGTCGACGATATTCTTCCCTTTTATCTGGAGACTCTTCAATTGCTTGTCTCTGAGCTTTGAAAAGTTCAACTCCCGTCCACTTTGTGTCACCAGTGGTTATTTTGCCTGTCATCACTTGAAGTCGTTGAATGTCATTGACTCTGTGTGGTTTCTGGCTGCCAGGTTGCTGCGAATCCTGTGTGGATGTTGATTTAGTCTTTGGATACTTTTTACTAAGACCATCAGAACTCCATGTTATTCCAAAGATAATTCTTCATGACTCTCACTGGGTTTGATTGAGTGTTTTAGAAAGAAGATGTCTTGACTAAAACCTGTACTGTGTGATGGATAAACATAGATAGTGCCTAAACCACATGCAGCAGTGTACTTTCACTGATGTATGGGTACCAGTGTGCAACAATGAATAAATAAAATGAGAGGCTTTGCAATTTTGGGGTTCCTTTTAAAAATGTTATTAGCAAGTTCTTATTTTTCAGGGTGCAGTTAAGTATTATTTGTAACATTTTATGATCAGGGTACACTTCTCAACTAAACGTAAATCTGAAACTACTGTTAATTAATTATTATTACAGTAACCGGGATTCAACACACACTCACTGGCATTACTGGTCTTTTTTCTATGAACTACAGACTTGAATGAAATAGGGGACTCTGCATAAATATGGTTTTATTTGGTTTAAGTGCTATAGTTTTATTGACCCCCTTGAATTAAAGCCTAAAGTCTGCACCACAATCACATCACAATTATTTGATTTAATATCAACTTTGGCAGTGAACAGAAAAAGAATGGTGTCCAAATACTTGTGTACCTGACTGTACTTCCAACCTGAGATGGCTTTTTTCACTGTGCGATCAGTTACAGATAAAAGTTGACATTTGTGAGGAAAACATGCTCGAAACAGAGAAACTATGAAATGCAGTGTGTTCTGTACTCTTCTGTAATATGATCAAAGCTCAGTAAAAGCATGAATAATTTAAAAAGATTGATGGTTGATGTAGATAGAACAATATCAAAGTCCCATTTAGAGCTTTGTTGAGCAAAGATAGGCTTCATCAGAATTCAGCACATTCCCACAGCATCACCAGCTTCACCATCTACAGTCATCAGACTATAATTTAAGCTATTTATAACTGATATAGTGCAGTCTGACATTATCAGACCCATTTGTGTTATGCAACCTAGTGTTTTTATGACATACATGACAACTTAACTAATATCCATCAATATAAGGAGCATTTTAATAATGACGGAAGGTTTTCATGGATCCATTCCCCGATGCAGTAAACAAACACAGTTTCATTATTCTGGACCTGGTGCTATCTATTTTTTTGATCATATCAGTCGTCATACAGACACCATAAAATAAGAAATCACACAATAAGCTGAATCTTTCCCTCCTGCTTTTCCTCTGACTTTCTTCAGTGGCTTCTTTTTACATTTTTAAATAGCTGCTCCGACTCTTTCAGCAGCCATCACCAACACCCGGGTCCACTTGCTTTCTGTTTGTCTATCCAGTCTATCCATATAACCCCAAACATCCTGCGGTACAGTAAGAGTGTGCACATTAATGGCTCCGAGCTCCCTTTCATCTGTCAGACCAGTGCGAGGAGCCATTTGGCTGGTAAAAAACAAAAAACAAAACACCCCCGCTGCAATTTTCTGATATTGGCATTAGCACTCACCTGTGCCCATTTGCATCGTGGGATTGTCAGCATTTTGAGCCATCAGCCACACGGACCAGCCAGTATTAGAATGGTGTGAAATCTTTCCAATTTGAAGGCCAGGTTTCCTCTTACAGTGAAGGGAAATGCCAGGAAAGCCAGACAGTTTGACACCATATACCATATGTCATGTTTAATTGGAGCATGTTTCATCTGTGTGCACTCATCTGTGGGTTTCAGGGTGAATTATTAGCATACTGTAATGGCACAGTGCATGTTTGTAATTACATACAACCAGAATATACTCTAAATTGCAGTTTGGGCTTTGTTTTTTGTTAGTAGTGTCTACTTTTCTGCTCCCAGAATGGACTTAAATGTGCAGCAGATGGATGAAATAATAAGCAGGTCTCTAATAACAATAATTAGCCTCCATCCACAGAGTGGCTCAGCCAGAACTTAAGGAGGAGGACAAGTAATTGATGGCCTGGGATCAGCCTTCTTTTCTATTGTCATCCTGTTTACCATGCCTAATTATGGCTCACAGAGGAAGATGTGGGAATTATCATTAACCAATGTATAATCAGAAATAATTCTTTTGATTTGCTCCTCATGAAGCATGCCCCAAATCTACCACCGTGCTGCATTTCTTAGGAAAACAAACTTTTGAAGTAATAGTTTTAAAAGTACACTTGACTTCTGGCGCCTCTCAGAATTGCTCCTGCTTAACATGCAGCGAGGCACCATGTTCTTTAGCTGTCGTCTCAAAATAATCCTCGTCACAGACAGGTTACTCCTCTTTCCACTTTAGCCGACCCCACAATGTATAGTTACAATAGATCCGTTACGTTTAGTTGCAGGCAGTCAGGATTTAAAAAACTCTGAAACTTGT